ATATATATATATATTATATATGATGGTTTTATATATATATATATATTTATATATATATATATATACATATATAACTGTCATATATAATATATATATTATATATATATATACATATATTATATATGACGGTTATATATATATATATATATAATATATATATATATATTATATAAAATATATGTACATATATAACTGTCAAAGCTGGTTTATCCAGCCTTTCTGACCCAGATGTTTGTTTTGTGTGTGACCAGGACCAGGTGCCTGGAACCACCACCAGCACTGTGCTGAAGAACCTGAGCTCAGACACAGAGTACACGGTCACCGTGGTTCCGGTCTACCCTGAGATGGAGGGCAAGCCTCAGTCTGAGAACGGGAGGACGAGTGAGTGTACCTAGGCCCCCAGCAGGAAACATTTGTCACGTGAGTTTCATCAGAAGCAGCCTCGGGTCAGTTTAAAACTCCACCCGCTGCTCCTCCTCAGATCCAGTGGGTGGAGTGAAGAACCTGAAGGTGGTGGATCCGACCGTCAGCACGCTGACGGCTCGCTGGGACCCGGCGGTGGGAAACGTCCGAAGCTACAAGGTCCTGTACGCAGCGCAGCCAGGAGGAGAGCAGCAGACGGTAAAACAAGTGCAGGTGCATTTTATCTACTGGGATGAACAGGTCATGAACGGTTCTGACTTGGTTTCACAGGAGGAGGTGTCAGGCGGGACCACCAGCACCATCCTGAGGAACCTGGAGTCCGACACGCTCTACAGCGTGGCCGTTATTCCCGTTTACCCTGACGTGGAGGGAATCAGGCAGGAGGAGAAGGGACGGACGAGTGAGTGAGCCTTCACACTCAGACAGTGAAATGCTTTGGACCCAGGACTCCTGGGTTCTGTTCAGGTGGGCCTCAGGTGTGGGTAGGTTTGGGCTCTCGTTCTGTTGGTTCTGCTTTCCATCTTTAGTCAAGAGTGCTGAACATCGTCCTGCTGGGTGGGTTCTTTAACCCTCGGGGAGAAGTCCGCTCAGCTTGGAGGAACAAAGTTCTGACACATTTCCTTCCAGCAGAGCAGCCGACACCTTTTGGACCTCCACGTCCTTCGGATGTTGGTCGTTTTGTCAAACCTTTAAAACTTCAAGTCCTCAGATTGTTCCAGCCCTGGAACTTCTGCTGGCCACTTCAAGGCTGAACAAAACCTCAGACCACGTTAAAGGTGTGTCCACCTGAAGGCCCGCGGGCCACATTAGGGCCTGACTAAAACTTTGTCTGTCCCTTGAGATAATAACAAAAACTAAAACCAAGGTTCATTCCAAACCATGAGCCTCAAACTGAGGCATCGAACCACAACCTTAAAACCAGGACACTGCAGGAGGCCTGCAAGCCACTTGTGGCCCTTGAGTGATTTACGTATGTACGTCTGGCCTGCCGAATTTTATTAATTAAAAGTATAAAATAAAAATTTTGAAAAGATCTGTGAAAAACCTTTAAATATTTTGAAATAGCAAATATTTCAGTGAGACAGGCAGTTCTGTTGAGGATCCATCTTATTTATCAACAGTTTCACGAGCACGCAGAGGAACGCTGAGAGACGTGGCCCCTCCCACCATAAGTCTTACATGACACAATGCCTGGCGTCACTCTGTGACCACTCGCTCTCTGTTTGTTCTGCAGGGAAGATACTCGCTGCCTGACTACTCAGTGTTTACTCTCTTATACGTATTGGGCAAAACCTCTGACGCCTGCTGTCAGTTTACAGCCAAGAACAGAGCAGACCTGAACAGGACATTAACAAAAACAACATATTTACACACTCAAATACATCGCAAACAGTCAGAGACATCGTAAACAGTCAGAAACATCGCAAACAGTCAGAGACGTAAACAGTCAGAGACATCACAAACAGTCAGAGACATCACAAACAGTCATAGACATCGTAAACAGTCAGAAACATCGTAAACAGTCAGAGACATCGCAAACAGTCATAGACATCGTAAACAGCCAGAGACATCGTAAACAGTCAGAGACATCGTAAACAGTCAGAGACATTGTAAACAGCCAGAAACATTGTAAACAGTCAAAAACATCTTAAACAGTCAGATACATCGTAAACAGTCACAAACATCGTAAACAGTTACAAACATCACAAACAGTCAGAGACATATCAAACAGTCAGAGACATCTCAAACAGTCACAAACATTGTAAACAGTCACAAACATCGTAAAAAGTCACAAACATCGTAAACAGTCAGAGACATTGCAAACAGTCAGAGACATCGCAAACAGTCAGAGACATCGCAAACAATCAGAGACATCGCAAACAGCCAGAAACATCGTAAACAGTCAGAAACATCGCAAACAGCCAGAAACATCATAAACAGTCAGAGACATTGCAAACAGTCAGAGACATCGTAAACTGTCAGATACATCGTAAACCATACCACTTTATTTATAAAGCACTTAAAACAGGTACAAGGCCAACCAAAGTGCTGTACAGACAGAACAACAGGTAACACACAAAGCAAAATACAAAATGAAGTAAATCAAAATATAGACATAAAAACGATGCAGATAATGACGACAAACCAGTGTGGAGCATACAGGATCAAACACAGATCCTCTGGTGTTGAAAGCTACTGAATAGTAGTGAGTTTTTAAATGGGACTTGAAAATTGAGAGGGAGGGGGCCTGTCTGACAAGCAGAGGTAACTCGTTCCAGAGTCTTGGTCCTGCTACAGAGAAGGCCCTGTCACCTCTGCGCTTAAGACAGATCAGAAACAGTCAGAAACGTCAGAAACAGTTAGAAACATCATAAACAGTCAGATACATCGTAAACAGTCAAAAATGTCATAAACAGTAAGAGACATCGCGAACAGTCAGAAACATGGTAAACAGTCAAAGACATTGCAAACAGTCAGAAACATCATAGTCAGATACATCGTAAACAGTCAGAGACATCGCAAACAGTCAGAGACATTGCAAACAGTCAGAAACATCGTAAACAATCAGAAACACCGTAAACAATCAGAAACATCGTAAACAGCCAGAAACATTGTAAACAGTCAAAAACATCTTAAACAGTCAGATACATCATAGTCAGATACATCGTAAACAGTCAGAGACATCGCAAACAGTCAGAGACATTGCAAACAGTCAGAAACATTGCAAACAGTCAGAAACATTGCAAACAGCCAGAAACATTGTAAACAGTCGAAAACATCTTAAACAGTCAGATACATCATAAACAGTCAGAGACATCGCAACAGTCAGAGACATCGTAAACAGTCAGAAACAATGCTAACAGTCAGAAACATCGCTAACAGTCAGAGACATTGTAAACATTGTCTCATTGAGCCACGAGGACTCATTTACAAGAGAACTGTTTTTAACAAACACAGATGAGGTTCAAACAACAACAAACATATAAAAGCACATAAAATGAAAAGTAAATGGAAGAAATGAAGTAAAAACAAGACAAAAACAGCTACATTAACAAGACATTCAACAGGACATTATGTGTGTCTTTCAGAACCTCTGAGTGGAGTGAAGAACCTCCAGGTGACAGACCCCACCGTCAGCTCCCTGAAGGTCCGCTGGGACCCGGCTGATGGCGACGTCCGGCAGTATAAGGTCCTCTACGTTCCGACGGCCGGAGGAGCTGAGAGCATGGTCAGTTCTCCCTGAAACAAAGCTCTGATTGTAACCAGGTTCGGTTAGGTCCTCTGGACCGAACAGGATGCTGAACAATCATCCATGTAGATCAATCTAACCTGACTGAACCTGGTTAGAATGATCTACCTGGATGATTGTTCAGCATCAGAATAAACCTTTGATTGATTAGTTTCCGCTCCTCTTTAGGCTTGATTCATTTCCTGAGATCATTTCTTTAATACTTTGTTATACATTCTTTGTTTGAATGTTCTTTGTTAGATGTTCTTTGTTTGAACGTTTTTTGAACGTTCTTTGCTAGACTTTCTTTCTATGAACGTTCTTTGTTAGATGTTCTTTCTTTGATGTTCTTTCTTTGAACATTCCTTTTTAGATGTTTGTTAGATGTTCTTTTTTAGATGTTCTTTCTATGAATGTTCTTTGTTAGATGTACTCACGTGATGTTCTTTGTTTGAACGTTCTTTGTTAGATGTTCTTTGTTAGATGTTCTTAGTTAGTCATTCTTTGTTAGATGTTCTTTGTTATGTTCTTTGTTAAATGTTCTTTCTTTAATGTTCTTTCTTGAACGTTCTTTGTTAGATGTTCTTTGTTGATGTTCTTTGTTTGAACGGTCTTTGTTTGATGTTCTTTGTTAGATGTTCTTAGTTAATCATTCTATGTTAGACGTTCTTTGTTAGATGTTCTTTGTTATGTTCTTTGTTAGATGTTTTTTGTTAGATGTTCTTTGTTAGATGTTCTTAGACGTTCATTGTTAGATGTTCTTTGTTTGAACGTTCCTTGTTAGATGTTCTTTGTTTGAACGTTTCTTGTTAGATGTTCTTTGTTAGATGTTCTTTGTAAAAAGTTCTTTCTATGAATTTTCTTTGTTAGATGTTCTTTGTTTGATGTTCTTTGTTTGATGTTCTTTGTTTGAACGTTCTTTGCTTGATGTTCTTTGTTAGATGTTCTTAGTTTGATGTTCTTTGTTTGATGTTCTTATTTAGACGTTCTTTGTTAGACGTTGTTTGATAGACGTTCTTTCTTTGATGTTCTTTCTTTGAACGTTCTTTGTTAGATGTTCTTTGTTTGATGTTCTTTGTTTGATGTTCTTATTTAGACGTTCTTTGTTAGATGTTGTTTGATAGACATTGTTTCTTAGATATTCTTTCTTTGATGTTCTTTCTTTGAATGTTCTTTGTTAGATGTTCTTTGGTAGATGTTCTTTGGTAGATGTTCTTTGGTAGATGTTTTTTGTTAGATGTTCTTAGTTAGTCGTTCTTTGTTAGACGTTCTTTGTTAGATGTGCTTTGTTATGTTCTTTGGTAGATGTTCTTAGTTAGTCGTTCTTTGTTAGATGTTCTTTCTTTGATGTTCTTAGACATTCTTTGTTAGAGTTTATTTGTTAGATGTTCTTTGTTAGATGTTCTTTCTTTGAACGTTTTTTTGTTAGATGTTCTTAGTTGTTCTTTGTTAGATGTTCTTTCTTTGATGTTCTTAGTTAGACATTCTTTGTTAGACGTTCTTTGTTACTCGTTCTTTGTTTCATGTCCTTTCTTTGAACCTTCTTTGTTAGACGTTCTTTGTTACTCGTTCTTTGTTTGAACGTTCATTGTTTGATGTTCTTTGTAAGAGGTTCTTTGTTTGAAAGTTCTTAGTTAGATGTTCTTTGAACGTTCTTTGTTAGACATTCATTGTTTGAACATTCTTTGTTAGTTGTTCTTGTTAGATGTTCTTTTTTGATGTTCTTTTTTTAAATGTTCTTGTTTGAATGTTCTTAGTTGGACGTTTTTTTTAGATGTTATTTGTTAGAGGTTGTTTGTTAAACCTTCTTTGTTTGAACATTCTTTTTTAGATGTTGTTAGTTAGATGTTCTTTGTTTTAATGTTGTTTGTTAGACATACTTTACTAAGACGTTCTTTGTTTGATGTTTTTGTGTAACTTTCTTTGTTAAGACGTTGTTTGCTAGATGTTGTTTGTTGGATGTTGTTTGTTAGACGTTCTTTGTTAGATGTTCTTAGTTAGACGTTCTTTGTTATATGTTGTTTGTTTGATGTTCTTTGTAAGATGTTCTTAGATTATTTTGTTAGATGTTCTTTCTTTGATGTTCTTTCTTTGAATGTTCTTTCTTTGATGTTCTTTCTTTGATGTTCTTTGTTAGATGTACTTAGACATTTTTTGTCAGATGTTATTTCTTTTATGTTCTTTGTTTGATGTCCTTTGTTTGAACGTTCTCTGTTAGACATCCTTTGTTTGATGTTCTTTGTTTGATGTCCTTTGTTTGAACGTTCTTTGCTAGATGTTCTTTGTTAGATGTTCTTTGTTTGAACGTTCTTTGTTAGATGTTCTTTGTTTTAACGTTCTTTGTTAGATGTTC